AATAGAATAACTCAATATATTTTGATACAGTAGAGAAAACTAACACACACTATTGAGAAAAATACAAAAAAAAATTAAAAAAATACACAATGATGAATCTTTTAAGTTTACCGTTTTTAATATCGTTTTAAATGTATCACTTGAAACAACAAGTAGAATAACTCAATATATTTTCATACAATAGAAAAGAGTAACATACACTATCGAGAAAAATATAAAAAAAAAAATAAAAAAAATTTTAAATGCTGATTTGTTAAGTTTTCCGTTTCTAATATCGTTTTAAAAGTGTCACTTGAAAAAAAAACCAAGTAGAATAGCTCAATATATTCTCATACAGTAGAGAAGAGTAACATATACACACACACATAAACTAAGGGAAACTACGACGTGCGCACGACGAACTCTGGACGCTGACTGAGAGTTAAACTCATGTTTTAACTGGTCCGAGCCTTTACTATGTTCTCTCTCACTCTCTCCTCTCTTTCTCTCTTTCTCATCCTTCTCTTTCTCTTTATTTTTTTATTTCTTCTATTTTATTTTTCCATAAACACACGAATCGTTTTTTCTTGTTTTCATACATCCCTCATTTACGTTACTTTTCTTCAATGTTTAATTACTTCGACCAAACTTTGAACATTTAATGTAAAACATATTTCCAAAAATGGTTTATTATCTTTTACAAATGGTATTTGTATTTACAAAGTGAATATAATTTGTTTCCGAAAATCTGGCATATCAATTTACCGTTCTACGAACATTTTCATACGTGTGTTTTATTTTGCAATTAAATACAACCCAGATAATAAATTATAAATCGTATCTGTTCTAGATTTGCGCTTAAAAGTTCGGATTAATTAAATATTTTTCGATTCTACGATTATCGTGAATACACAAAGTTAACTAAAAAAAAAATTAAAATTGTTTTCTTGTTCTTGTACATCCCTCACTCACGTTACTTTTATTCAATGTTTAATTACTTCAACCAAACTTTGAACATTCAATGTAAAACATATTTTCAAAAAATGATTTATTATCTTTTACAAATGGTATTTGTATTTACAAAGTAAATAGAATCAGTTTTCGCGAAAATCTGGCACATCAATTTACCATCCTACGAACATTTTCATATGTGTGTTTTATTTTGCAATTAAATACAACCCAGATAATAAATTATTATCATATATGATCAAGCCTTAAAACTTAAAAGTTAGGATAAATTAATTACTTGTCGATTGTATGATTATCGTAAAAGCACAAAGTTAAATAAAACCAAAAAACAAAAAAAAGAAAATTAAAAGTAACATTTAAAATTGAAATAAGAAAAAAAAGGAAAAAAAGTAAAGGAAAGGAATGAAAAATATCGATTATAATCAAGAAAGAGATAGATGTTTACTCGCGTTATTTATTATACTTGGTACTATTACGCTTGTGCTCGTTTAAAACTGAATTATGTTATATCCACGATAAATGTTGCTTAGAAAATGAAATTATGGTTATGATAGATCGCATAGAGTAAAGTAAATTCAACATTAGTGATATTAAAAAATTACTATGAAGGAAGGAAATAAAATTGACTGAATATACATATCCTTTATATCGAAAAAATAACAAAAAATAGAAGAAGAAGAAGGAGAAGAAGAAGAAGAAGAAAATCTAATTATTAAACTAATGGTAAGAGATGTACCCTTATCTAAACTAGTAGTAGTAGTAGTAGTAGTTGAAAATGTATTTTTATGTTGAAAAGTACTAACGAGACATTAATTAAACTCTTATAAAAGTACATTTCTACATTTACTTTAGATAATGAACACTCATGATTAATTATTTATATAACTGTCATTGTCACTGTGACACGAATCTCTGTAATTAAAAAAAATCTATTCGAGAAAAGAGGTCATTTGTTCAAAAAAAAAAAAAAATAATAATAATAATTTAATATTTAAAATTTATTTGAAGAAGCAAAATGTAATTTTGTATGTATGAGTATTATGGTCCAACTCGAAAATACCGTGTTGCCTTTAGGCTAGACTCGTTTATATGCTGTAATAAATTAATATTATATACAATTTATATTTAAATAATACAAAATATGGTACGCGCGGTTCTCTTAACTATTTTCAAAAAAAAAAAAACAATATCGAAACCGAAGTCATAACTCTTTGGAAAACCCTTATCCTAATCTTATTTTGATGTTTTTAATACCCTAAAAGTGATATATATTGTGTCTTAACCTAAACTCAACCCTAATACATATATCATTGTATAAAACTAATCCACATCAAATTCAGGAATACCCAAAATCAAGGTGAACAATTTGTAATACTTTTTTTAATTGGAAAGTAAGGTTTTTTTTCTAATTTGTAAATAAAAAATAATATTTTATTTAATATACAATTTAAAAGTTATGTGATTCTCGTTTCATCAAACCTCAATTATTGGTTATTCAAATGCCACAATTGTATAAATCAAAAAGAAAATAAAATAAAATTAAAAAAAAATTAGTTCTATAATATATTTTGTAATATAAATAATTGTAATAGAAAATAAATCTTAAAATATATTTTTATTTACACAAATAAAAATAACAATAAAAGTATTTAATTTATTAAATTATAAATTTAATATTAAAAAGAAAAAAAAAGAAATAATTATTAAATATAAAATATTTATTTTTTTTTAATTTATATTTATTTAAAAATAAAAATATTGGGTTGTTCGGAAAGTAATTTCGTTTTATTTCTGTGAAAATCAAGATAATTTTTGTTTCGAGGTTAAACTTAGGATTTTCGAACAAGTTTAAATAGTTAAATTTGATAAATTTAAACTATCAAAGATTTCACGTATTGTTATTTGCCAATTTGCATTAACTAATTCGAAAATTGTGTCAAGAAAAAACGAAATTACTTTCCGAACAATCCAATATATATTATAGGATTTATTTTAGTTATTTTATTTTGTGATCATAATTTATCAGAAAACATATTATTACGTAATATCATGAAATGAGCTGCAAACGAGATAAAAACAAAAATCAAAGAGATATGATAAAACAACAGAAATCGAGAAAACGATGTTTAATTACTGTTAAAAGTCCATCAACGAGAAATTGGTTGAAAAACGGAGTTTAGCCATCTTTGTTTTACTACCTAGATGTTATGCAACTAATAAGCACCTAGACGTAAGGAAATAAGTTTGTCGAAGTGAAAAAATTATAAAAGGAAGGAAGATAAAACAAAAAAGAAAAGGATTGGAAACAAAAGGAAAATAAACATCATCCTTTGCATCATCTTTTCCGTGTTTTTTCTCATTAATTTTCTCTTTGAAAATAGGGGAATGAACGATATCATCTTTGACAGTCGATTAATTAAAAAAAAAGAAAATCAACTTGATAATGTCTTCTTGTCAATCGATGATGATCGAACCAGTCAAGAAAATTTAAATAAAAATTCAAGTATTTCTTACCTGAAGATTTCGAAGAAGTGAATAAAAGATTGAACAAATAAATTACATCTCGTGTTTAATAATCAAGGTATATATAATTGTATATTGTAAAATTATTAAAGTTTATTGTAAAATATTGTACGAGTTTTTGTTTCTTTTTATTTTTTTTATTTTTTTTTCATCTTGAGTAAGTAAGATTTTAATTAAAATACATTTTAATGCTTACTTTTTTCTGCTTTGATTTAATTCATGTATTTTACTTTATTAATATTTTTTTCTCTTTTTTTTTTATAATATAATTCTTATAGTTTATTTATGTTACTTGTTCGATTTTATCACTATAACCTTTATTTTTTTATTTGGTTGTTTGTTCTGTGATCTTTACATTTCATTTCAAACGTGTGTAAATATTTGTGTTGAAAGATTTAATGTTTAAAAAAATGAACATATTTTATTTTCTATACTAAATAAAAAATGTTTTGAAAGTTCCAAATGTTCACATTTAAATCTGCGATATCAGGGAATGTTCACAAGTATTTATTTAACGAAACAAAATAATATTTATAGAAAGTATTTTCAGGTAATCATCGATCACTAACTCAAAGCGAAATATTTCCAGGATATAAAAAATCAAATATTTTATAAATTCGAAGAAAATAAAATACCAATAACTTACGTTTGGTAACACTTTCCCAGAAATAAAATTAAAGATAAAAAAAATAATCATGCAATCATCACAAATCGATGAGGTATGTCAAACTTTTAATACTAATTTTTATTACATTTCGTTCTCTAATTCATTTACCAAAGTCTGTATATGTTTATTTTTTTTTTATACAAGGACATTTTTTTTATAACTAATTAAGGAATTATGTTAATCACTACACGACTATGATTAACTTATTAAATCTTACATTTTCCTAAATGGGTAGTAAAAAAAAAAAGAAACGATTTCAAAGGAAATCTTATAATGTAAATCAAAACGATGATAGAAATAAAATCACTTTATTAGGTCGCAATCGAAGAAACTAATTATGGCAAAGACGATGGTACAACTCGCATAAAAGAAATAATAAATGAAGCTCCGCCAATAGGAAGACGTAAATTTTCTAGTGAGTTAACATTAATATAAACTCAATTGAAATATTATTAAAAGATATTTATCTAATTTTGAATGTTGATTTTATATTTTGAGAAAATAATCAATTTGTTTTAAAAGTCATTAAATTTTTTCACTGGGGAAAAAAAAACAGATGATTATATTTCATATTTATAATAATTATATAATAATTATAGTAATAAAAATAATATATATACATATATTATATATATTTATATATACAATATTATTTATTTTATTATATAATAAATTATATAATATATATATATATATATATTTTTTTTTTTTGATTAATGAATTAAATAGGATAGAAAAATTATTAGAATTTATTTTACTTATACATGTGTGTATGTTAAGATTAATTTAGTATAATAATTTAAAATGTAATTATATATTATAAAATAGATAATTTGAAAATTAACTAATTGATGACCATATACGTAATCTTAGCGAACATGAACGATGATGAAGTTATCAGAAAATCATCGGAAAACGATACCGTAAAAGCAGATACAAGGAAGCTTAAAACCGTGACACTTGATAGAGTCGGCAGAATATTTAAATCCCGAGGGCAAACATGCGAGATGGATAAAACTGATATGAGCTTAGATAACAGAACGGTTAGTAAATTTTATATCATGTTATTTTTTCTAATCCATTTTCAATGATTCATTTATTCTTAGTAAAATATGTTCATTATTATTATCTTTTATTAATTATATTTGTAATATAATAATTTATAAAATCTTTTTTATTATGAATAGAATACAACAAAATTGAATGATAATAGTGACGAAGAATCATTGAAAAAGGACAAAACTAATTCTTTGGGAAGAATGTTAAAGCTCGTAGACAAAGACGGTGCACCAAAGAAGCTTTTTCCTCATTCACGTGCCGGATCATTAAGTAGGATTTTTCGTAAGCATTCAACTAATGAAACCAACGAAACAATTGATGAGACAAAGGAAGAGTCTCCTGGAATTTTTTCTAGAATGTTTAATCATTTAAGAGGTATTTATTATAATATTGTTTGATGTTTTTACAAATGTTTAAAAATAAAAAAAATAGAAAGAGAAATAAATAAAACAAATAAATAAATAATAAATGTGATATAATAATCAATATATATAGTTATTGATTTTATTTTTATTATATATAATTTATATATTATTTTTATTTAATTTATATAAATTAATAATATTTATTTTCGATTAATTATTTTATTATTTAAAATTAAATATTACTGATTAAAAAAATTATATAATTATACATTATCCTTTATTATATATAATATATTATTATATTATATATATTTATTAATTATTATTTTATATATATATGAGATCATTAAATATGAAATGTCTGATTTCGAGATGAAAATAATCCAAGTAATCAGACATTTCATAGTTAATAACCTAATATATATAATAAAATATATTTTATACACACACATTTGTTATAGGTCGTTCAGCAAGTAGCAGAAATAAAGGCAATTCTAATAACTCACGTGAAACAATGGAAAAAGGAAAATTACCACCAACATTACCTTCGAAATTTTCAAGACCACCATTGCCAGTACCATTGCCATCATCATCGTCATCATCATCATCGACGAATGAAAAGCAACAATCATCAACGAGATTATCTCGTAGAACGTCTAATCTTGCATAAAAATGCTATTAAATTTCTCCTTGACAGATAGATACAAATTTAATATAAACTGTGTATGTATATGTCATTGTGAAACTAACAAACGGATAAAAACAGTTTAAAAAAAAAAAAAAACAAAAAGAGAACAAAAAAAAATAAGAAAGAAATTACGTCACTGTTAAAAATATCAATTCAATGTACGTGGATATTTAATTTTTGTATTTCTTTCTTTGCAGAAAATAATCAACTTATTATGAGAGTAACGGGTGTAAAAGATATTTTTGTTATAAAAAGAAAAATAAATTCTAAATAGTTAACGTGAAATAAATTTATTTTATATGGATTTAAATCGAAAATAAAAAAAGAAAATATATATAAAAATCCCAAACAAATATAGGAAGATTAACACTAGAACTACCAGACCAGTCAAAATGACTGGTCGCGCAACTTCATTATTTAATTCCCACCTCACGTTACATTTTTTTCTCAAAATTATATGATGACTTTTCTAGATATAAGAAATGGTTTGTAAAAATAATTTTTATTTTTTTATAACTTAAACAGAATTCGAATAAATTTTGGCATTTGCTACTTCTACCAATACCAGTCATTTTGACTGGTACTTCTTAAATTCGACATAAATCTGAAAATATCTGTTTTTTGAAATCAACACCGTCGATAAGATATTTAGACGAATGTATTATTCTTTGTTGTAATATTTTCTCTCATGTTACTGCTTATCTGGCGAAAATACATAGTGATATAATCGTTGCCGTAGTGTATCGAAATAATAGAATCGATGTAGTTTTACGCGATCATTCTTTATTCCATTTATTCCATTTTTTAATTATATAGCGATTTTTTGTAATCCATAAAAAATGGCAAAACGTATAAAAACCTCTGATTTGCTGCGAAAAATAAACAATATTTCAATGGAAGCTTCTGATATCGAGGATGAAGAAAGTGACCAAGAAGATATTGAAACAGTTTATAGTGGTAATAATSATGAGTTTGATGAGTTTGAAGATCATGAAGAAGTTCGAGAGTCCTCGGACAGTGAATTAGAAAATATTTTGAATTTACGGAAAAAAAGACGKGCTCGTATAGTTTCAAGTTCTGAAGAGGAAAAAGAAAATATAAATAAAAAAAATGAAATTGCTGCAGACGGAACCAATTGGGAAAAAATACAAGAAGGATCTACAACTGGAAGATTACCACTTCATAATATTTTCAAAGATATATCCGGCCCCACAGGATATGCTA